TTTTCTTTTTTTTTCCCGCCAAAGCTTTAAATTAAACTTCGACGATGGCAAAAAGATAAAAGTAAACTGGCAGGCAATTGGTTAGGTGATCATCACACATGATTTGACTAAAGATTTCTCGACGATCAAAAGTAAATAAAAATTCAAAATATATATACTATAAATTAGCAACTTGTTATATGATTCACTAAGTTAGTACAACTACTTTTCAACCTTATTGTTTCCGAAATTAAATGCCTTGATTTATGTACAAAGTAGTTCACAGCATAAACATCTGATATTATCCCCCTTTTTTTTTTAAAATAAGAAACAATTTTTTTCGGAGTATAAGAAACAAATTGTCTTTGTCTAAGATTTTAAGGTTAATACAAACTTTGATTTTTTTTTTTTTTAAGTTTACCCTCATTTTAGTTTTGGTCCTTCAAATTTCAAATAATAGGTTTTGGTCCCTCAAGTTTCTTTTCATTTAAAATATTTGTCCTTATAATCCAATAAAAACTTAGACCATTTTACTCTTTGAAGGATCAAAACCTATGATTTCAAGCTTGAGTGATTGAAACCGAAACGAAGGCAAACTTGATGGATCAAAAATTATATTAACTCTAATTTTAAAATGGTCTTGTCACTTTTACCCTTATTAAATATTCACTTATTATCTCTCTGAAATAAATTTTTACTCATTATCTCTCATATACTTTTTTTACAAACAAGGGAATAATTAGAAGAAGATGTATATATCTTACACATTTATTGCTTTTAACTAAATTTGACTAATAGTTTGATCCATATGATTTTGGTAGTTGTTTCTTATAATAAGGGATGGAGGGAGTATGTTTCACTCTATAATACTACTTTCAGCCCTTTATAAAGAACTAGTTGAAGATTTGATTTAATCTTAAATATAAAATCTCAATCCACCTTATCTATAGTATTTAGATAACTACCATAAAAAGTAATTTTTTACCACTATATAATTACAAAAGAGCTACTGCTTTTTTTTACAGTATATGTTGTGTTAAACACCGTAAAAAGATGTTGCTAAAACTGTTTTTTATAGTAGTGAAAATGAAATATTGTGAGGATGATTTAGCATTAGTGACCATCCATATATATATATATATATATATCTTAATACTACCTTTGATCTTAATTATAAGACCTCATTTGTAGTCCACAAATGAGGTCTTATAAATAGGATAGGAGGTAGTACATGTTATTAAAATTATCCTTGACTACATCTTAGTAGTGGTTTAATTTAATTACTGTCATATCGTGAATTAATTACTCCACCCGATATTTATTATAAGGATTTCTAACATGCCTCTTAATATAATGTTTTACTCAAAGTAATAATTTTTTATCTAATATCTCTGGTAAATTATAAAACTTTCTAAGTAATTAATCAAACTCTTTTAACTAATGAATTTTATTGAGGATAATTTTGACATTTTCTAATAAAAATTAATTTTAACTAGATTTCTTAATTTACATAAGCTGTTAATATGTACTTATAACTAGAATTTGGATAGGGAATAATAAATAATAGTAAGTCATTAGAACACAGTCTAATATGATGAAAAATTTATTGAAAAATAATGAAAATTTTCCAATAAATGAAATGGCTATTATATTTAAACGTGTGCACCATCATTGCCAAGTGCTTTGGAACAATGATATCTCACCTAACGCTCGTTTTTTACTCAAATTTTCACATCGGATATCCAAGTGAATTGAGACATAGGGTCCTACACTTAATTAATTGGACCCTTAGGCTGATAATTCCATGCTTAGAAAGGAAATTATTATGACATAGTTAAACATAATATTTATTTGAGGGTCCCACTTATAAGTTATACTAAGGTATATTTTAGCATATGTTGACTAATTTCTATCATTGTCTGTCCAAATTTTGTGAAAAACTGAAAACTTTCATGAAATTGGATGTGTGGTAGATAATTGGACAAAGCAAAACCGACAGCCCAAAGTGACTTTATGTTGAGAAACCCACAAAATATATTTGAATTTTTAAAATGGAATTAAAAGTGATGATCATTATACATTGTCAATGACTTCTATGAGGGAATATTATTGTTAGTTACTAATTTTTTATCATTATGATTGATGAGAGTGGGGAGTAAGTTGAGTCCAACTGTAATAATTAAACATTACACATTAGTTGCTTGGGAACAATGGTTCAAGCCAGGGTTATAGAATGGCTTATTTCTAGTTTGTCCTTTCATGTCAAAGGAAAACAAAATGACAAGTAAAAGAGGACCAAAATGGTAGTAAGCGGCATCACTCTCATAAAGAGAAAAACATATATTTGAATCTAGGAAAACACACTTATTGAGAATGCTTTAATCTTAATATTTCTGACCTAATAGCAATTAGTCTTAAATCCAAAGTAACTTAAGGATACTTTAAATTATGTAAAAAAAATAGTGCATATATATATAATTGTATCACATCATTACAGAAATTTAGTTTCAATTTTATGACATTTTATTTTTTTTAAAAAAACACACAATCACATGACTTCATGATTTTTTTTTTTTGGGTTTTATGTGATTACTACATGATTTCAGAACGAATATTTGTATTCATTTAGCACGTAACTTTTAGTTGATGAATACAAAAAGAAGTAAGGGTTTGATGGGTGGCACAACCGACGCCCCATGCCCTATTATGGCTAAGGCAGTGACTTCCAATTGTAGGGAGAAGGACTTGGAGGCCTAATATTAAAAGTTGATTGCTCTAAATTATTGAAATGTCATTTAAATACTTATATTTTTAAGTGAAATTAAATGACAACACACAATTACCAAAAAGTTCCTTCTTTTTACAGAAAAAACCTATTTCTGTGGTAGAACTCTATCCCTATTGTCAATATTCAATTCATCATCAATCGCAGCCAGAGACACCATTGCCAGTGATTGGAACTACTATTGTTGATGGCTGGTGGAGCAGCCACCCTATTAGAGTTGAAGCGATTCTCAGTGCCCTTTTATTTTTTTTAATTAAAAATTTATAATCTTATTTTTTTAATTTTTTAAATCAAACTCATCAAAAAATTTTCTTCCCTTTCTTCCATTTCTCTTGTACTATATATAACCATTTCTTCCATTTCTCTTGTACTATATATAAGATTAGGGTGTACGAAATTTTGATTGCCAAACCGTACATATAGATTAGCTTTCATCTGTGCAATGCTTTAATTTATCGTGATTCTAAATTTAAATTTAACATCATATAATACTAGTAGTATACTTACAAATGATGAATGCTTGTATAGGACTTGTTTTGGCTTTTAATTAAATGTATAATAACTGCTGGATTTTATTGTAATCGAAGAAACATAAAATATAAAGCCGACAGAAACTTGAAACAACAAAAGGAACCTTAGAAACAAGCAACTAGCTAGGTAGCCGCTATGAGTCTGATACATGAAGAGATCATTGTGGGAAGCATGTGGAAACATGATATAATGTGTGTGTAGATACATTGAACTTTATGAGGTGATGGAAGTTAGTAGGATGCGAAAAGATTTTGTCTAAATAATTAATGACCAACTTAACGTCAATCACGCAGACATGCTTTAAACTGATATAGCAACCTCACCATCTTATCAATAATCCTTTTATAAACCTCTCTTTCTCTCTCTCTGACTTCGAATTAAGCTTAACCTTACTCCATGTGTTTTCATTCATCTAAGGACTTCACACATGGGTTAGTTCTAGTTAATCTAACCCTTGTCCACAGTCTGATCTAATATCACGGCGACATTTAGTTCAAATCATCATTAATAAATTAATCCATAGATTGTTATGAAGCTTTTACCTGATTTTTAATTAAGGTTCTTGTGATCTTTTTTAATCAACTTTTTGTATTTTTTTTATTTGCATAGTTTTGCTTGATTTTAAATAAGTCCTCATACCTTCAGGTGGTTAATGACAAGATTAAAAAAAAAAAAACTATAAGAACCTTATTAAAAATCAAGTAAAACTATATAATGATCTGATTAAAGGGGGAAAAAACTCAGTGACCCAATTAAAATGATGTGAAACTATAAGTGTTTGGTAATAAAAACTACAAAGGCCTGACTTTTTTTTTTTCCCAAAACAATTAAGGGCATGATTATAGCCTTATTAAATACTTTCTGATTTTATATGTAATACTCATTTTATAGTGTATTTTATAATACAAAATGAGTTTTATATTTAGAATGTGAAGAAATATTACACGTTGCCTTATTCACTACGAATAATAAGCATTGCTATCAATAGTATTATTAAATTATGGAAAGTATAGATTTTTAGACATTATTATTTTAATTTTTTCCACATATTTTAATGAGGTTTTTTTTTTTGCAGCATTATTTATTTGTATTCATTTTATATTTCTCCTCATATTTTAATATAGAGGTTAGATATCTTAAAACCATAGGTTATCGGACGAAATAAAATAATCAATGAATTACGTAATGTACTAACTTGCATGACACATAATTAATTATTGTCAACGTCACTTTCTCTGTGCTCACACGTTCAAGATCTGTTTAAATACGACAACATATACAATAGATATTCATTATCTGAGATCTCTGATCCATGACTTGTGTTCTATCTTCTGTGCTTTTTACCAATATGACAATTTTCCTTCCTGTCCCACAAATGATTTTGCTTTCCTGTTTCTGAACATGCACTAAGCTGGTTTCTCTTCTATAAAACTTGCACTTATTTCACCACTTTTCAAGCTCTCACATGCCCACCATATTCACTTTGATCGATCACATAACTTTGTTTAATTTCACAGTTTCAAATCCCAAGATCGATCGATCGAAGTTCTAATTAGTTTCTCATCTTCTCTCTCCAATCTCTCTCTATCATGGCTGATATTGATTACCATACTAAAAAGCCACTGATCGATACAACTCCGACGTCGTCTCTGAAGCTCTTTGGCATTAACATTCACAAAGGTTCAGAATCTGATGAGGCCTTTAACTCCGGCAACGATCACCGGAATACGAGTGCCAGTATTGTTGTCGTGAGTTTGCCAATTCACAAGCACTGGGAGGCCATCAAAATGCACACAAGAAAGAAAGACAGCTTCTGAAGCGAGCTCAAATGCAAGCTGCTCGTACTGCTTTTGCCGCTTCGCATCATACTTATATTCATCATCACAACCCAATCATATTTCCTCCACCTGATACCCTCACCGGATCGCCACCTCCGCCTCCGCCACGGCAGTCTCCGTGGCCGCACAGTGTGGCACAAAATCCACCACCTTCGGTGTATCATTCTGGGGAATTCGGTGTGTGTGTGAATTCTGGTTTTGCAGCAGGTTTGCATGATCCTTCACGATCATCATCTATGGCGGCATACGGCGGCTTTAATGGCGGCGATGGTGGCGAACGAGGCTTCAGTTTGGATTTGCAACTTAGTCTCTGATGAGTAAGGAGCATATTATTGACACTGAGATGCGCAAGATGTACGACAAGATCCAAAACAAGACGACACAATAAGGCTATATCAAGTTTGTAAGTATCTTGTCGGAGTTAAAATGAGTGTTGGATACAGTACTACTGTTTCATGTTTCGAGCACCAGTGCTTTTATTAATTAGATTTTGAGTTTCAGATGTGTTTTGGGAATTGATGTAAAAATCTTGGTTCGAATTATAAATCTGAAGCAAATGATATATATTCAAGCATTTTCAACACGCCCAAATCAGAACTTAATTAGAAATTGTTTTTCATTTTTTGACATATATACTTTTGTTCCACTTTCGCCATGTTTGTTATATAATTAATTAGTTTCAATAAACTTTTCCATAAGGAGAGAGAGCTATGGGAGAGAATGTGAGTACTATAAATATGGGATATAGGATTGCACGTATAGGAGCGTTTATGAAGAAAATGCTCCCATACCCGCAAGTCAATTTTCCCTAGCCTCTGTTCAAACACCTTAATTAGTCCATCCAATTCCAGTGGGTGATTGTGGTGCGAAGAGTCTAAGTGAGTTAGCAATTTATTTGCAGTGTCTTCGAGCAAGGTGATTTAGGATACTCCTTTTGTTCTTAATATAATACTTATTTAATTAATTTGATGAGATTAAGAAAATTAGATAAATTAGTTATTACAAGAAATATAACATATTTTTCCTAAAATACCATAGTCATCTTCCTTAATATCCCCCAACCTCCTACTTGATTATAGTTAAGGGAATATTAATAGCTGTAACTTAAAAAAATTTGATAAATATAAAAAATAGGTATTACATTTAAGACTAAAATTAACTTAATAATTAGGTTATATATTAAGGAGTAGAAAAGTATCACATAAAGTCCAAGTCAAACGAGTTGACTCGCCATTATGACAACTTTGCCTATGTTATGTTGGATGTTTTTACCCCACTATTTGAATTTATTCTACTGATAATATGGTGAATATGACTTGAGAGAGTTATTTTAATACAAATTATTGAAAGAAATATTGGTATCCCATAACAAGTGAATATGACTTCCTTCTACATTAACATTTGGGATCAAATGCTGATAGATGGAAAAAAATAATTCAAGGAGCAAAATCTGATAGAAACAAGTGTTATTTTTTAAGAAAACAATTTGTGACACGTTAAAAAATCAATTTTCTTAATTTTAACGATGTATTCTCTCTCTTTTTTGGTTTTATTCTTTTATCCAAAGAAAGAAACCCACGCACGCAGCCAATGTATAAAGGGTCAAGTCACAACTCCATACTCAATAAAAACTTAAAGAAGGTTATTAGAGCTATTGGACCCAAAAAACCCGGCCATAACGAGGGAGTTATTTGTCCCTTAGTGGAGGGAATATATTGCTAATTATTTAAAATCATTATCTTGACTGGCTACTACTAAGGTTACACAACACGATAACATCACACAGAAGTGTAAATATCTCTGGTGGAGCATTGAAGTGAAAGGATCACGGGCAATTAGGGTTTCTGGCAGGACCTCCAAAGAAGAAGAAGGCGCCCCAATTAGGATCATCAGAATGGTCAGGCTGGATATCGTAGCAATTGGGACGATCAATGCTGGTGAAGAGATGAGTATTAGGAGGAACCATTTGGTCTTTGTGATCGGCAATCTTAATGTTGGCAAAAAAGTTTGCTTTTCCATAACCTTCTCCTGCGAAATGCCCACTTCCCATTTGGGTTGTTGTGTTTTGTCCATTCGAGTTTGTGTTTATTACTTCGCCTCCCCACTCTACCGTCGTTGCGTTGTAAGAGAGTTAAGAGAACAAAGAGGAAGGCCAATATCCCATCACTTTATCTTCTCCGTATTGCATCCACCAGTCTCCGTTTTTAACATCCTGTGCTCATCACTTATCACAATTAATAATCCTTTCATATAAAACATGTTTAATTGACTTGGGTAGATTAAAAAAATTAGATGAACTAGTTAATCATAACAAATATGACCCCGATATCACTACAAAAAAATTGACTTTCAGATGTGACAAAAAGTCACAGATGAAAGTATAAAAGTCGCCTTTGAAAGTTTTTAGCGGCGACTTGAAAAGTCGTTGCCGTAGTGACCGTGGTTGAAAACTTTCAGCGACGACAAAAAAATTCACCCCTAAAAGACACCTTCAGCGGCGACTTTTAGAAGTTTCAACAGGAACATTTGTCATCACTGAAAGCTACTTTCAGCTGCGACCTTATTGTCGCCACTAAAAGAACTTTTGGCCTGTTGCCGCCAAAAGTGACGCTAAAAGTAATGCCTAAGTAAAATTGGCTTTAATGATGCCATGTCATCATCACTGACGCCACGTCATCACTGGCCACCTCCACCTCATCACTGTCGGTCGCCACATCATCACCGACCAGACGCCACGTCATCATCAGCCACCTTCATGCCGTTGCCACATCACCACTCTCATGCCATGTCACCCTTCCCTGCCACGTCATTGCCTAAATATTTTCATGTTAAATGTGTCTTCTTCAAGGTTTGAACTTGTGACCACCTCTTTTCGTGTCCAATTTTCTTATCGTTGAGCTAGATTGAATTTGTTTATTATTATTGTAAAATAAATATATATATTATTATATTATACTTTCATCGGTGACATTAGAAAGTCGCTACTAAAAAGTCATCGCAGAAAGTGGACTTTTAGTGGCTGCGGTGACTTCTTTTGTCGACGCCAAAAGTCGTCACCTGAAGTCTTTTTTTTTTCATAGTGTTATATGTTCCTAAAATAGATAATAGACTAAAAGTGAATTGAGATCTTATATTTATAATTCATCTAATCCCCTAGTTACACTATCTTAGGGATCAAAGAGATGGCAATGAGTAAAGGAAGGACACTATATATATACTACCTGCGATCCTTAATGTAGAGTTAATTTGATTTTTAATTTGGTTCTAAATATAAAATCTCAATCTATTTTGTCTTTCATATTTATCTTTTTTTTTCTAAAGTAGTTCTTGTAGTAGGTGCATATGTTAAATATTTCATCAAATGGTAGTTTTATTTAGTAAACATGATTAGCAAAGATATTTAGTAAACATGATTAGCAAAGATATTTGGAGTATCTATTTATTACAAATAACTAACTTAACTAACTTTTTTAATCTTTCCAAATTAGTCAACTAGGTCTTATATTAAGGATCGGAGCCGGAGGTAGTGTGTGTGTAGTGAGCATGGTCATTAGCATAGGTAGATAACGGTGTGATGCGTCCTCCCACGGCCACACCAGCATCGAGCTGAACAAATCCAGAACAAAGAAGATCATAACATCCAGTGGTATTGCTGGAGTCACTCTATCATCGGATCACAATATTTAATTTAGAAACAAATTTAACGATATGAAAATTATTCTGAACACAAACAGCAGTGTTGTTGAGAAATTAAACTTGAACTCACGGTCCAATATGTAAAGAGTCGGGTCGTATTATCCCCATATACTTGTGGATTCACCTGATCAATAGAGATATAGATTCGACAAATATAGACCTTTTTAATCTAATCTCATAAATTAAGAAAGGTAGTTAACAACATTAATCTTTTCAAAAATTATTAGGATGAATATAACTGATTTGGTTAGGTTTAGTTAAGTTACAGCTGTCATTAAGTTAGAAGCCTTCTGTATATAAGGTCATACGTGTACTTCATTTAATTGGTATGAATAATATTCAGTCTTCCTTCAGCATTTTCTCTCTCTTCTCTGCTAATCGTTACATGGTATCAGAGCGGAGTATTCGACTCCGACTCAATTCTTGATTCTTCCCCCTTATTCCTATCCTTTCATCAATTCTTCTGCCTACCTCTGATTCTTGATTTACAAATGGTGAACGATCCTATTCCTACAGCGTCAGATCCTAATTCTTCTCCATCTCTTTCTTCTACATCTGCCGGAAATCTTACCGGTGGTTCGACTTCTGCTCTTCTCGATGTCTCTCAAAATATGGCTAGTCCATATTATTTGCACCCGAATGAAAATCCTTCACTCATTTTGGTTTCTCCAGTACTTTCCGGTCCGAACTACCACTCATGGGCTAGGGCTATGCGCATGGCGTTAATGTCTAAAAATAAAATCCAGTTTGTAGATCGCACTGTCTCTGTTCCAGATGTTGATAATCCAGTTTTCCCTGCCTGGCAGAGGTGTAATACTATGGTTCTTTCCTGGCTCACTCGCTCGCTATCTCCGACCATTGCACATAGTATATTGTGGATCGATCGTGCTTCTGATGTATGGGAAGACCTTAAGGATCGATTTTCTCAGAATGACATCTTCAGACTTGCTGACCTTCAAGAAGAAATACAGACTTTAAAACAAGGAGATCTGTCGGTTAGTGAGTATTTTACCAAACTTAAAATTCTTTGGGATGAATATTTGACCATGCGTCCTGTCAAATTTTGTTCTTGCAATCCTAAGTGTGCATGTGGGGCTGCTGATTCTTTTAAGAAGCATTTGGAACAAGACTGTGTTATCAGGTTCTTAAAAGGCCTAAGTGATCGTTTCTCTGCAGTTAAGTCTCAAGTTATGTTAATTGATCCTTTGCCAAATCTCAATCGTGTTTTTTCTCTTGTTTCACAACAAGAAAGGGAATTAGGATTTCTTCATGGCGAAGCTACAACATTATTGAGTAAAGCATACAATTCTCGTCCTGGACCCTCTCAGTTGTCTGGCCAGAATAAGTCTGGTTCATCAGCTTCGACTAAACAATGTACTTATTGTGGACGGTACAAGCATACGGAAGCCACTTGTTATAGGAAACATGGTTTTCCTCCAGGGTTCAAATTTAGGAATTCCTCTGTTAATGCTGTTTCATCAATCAATAATACTTCTGGTAAAGATTTTGCTGAACCTAAGGTCGTTAATCAATCTTACAGTTTCACTCCAGATCAATATCAAAAGTTATTGGCTCTAGTTCAAGCTGACCATTCATCGTCTCAGCCTTCTGCTTCTGTTAATCACATTTCTACCAATGGTATCTCCTATACCTTTGCTGTTCATTCTTTTTCTAATTCTTGGATCATTGATTCAGGTGCTTCAGATCATGTTTGTTCTAATCTCTCATTATTTTCTTCTTACACTCGTATCTCTCCCATTGTTGTCAATTTACCTAATGGTTCCCGAGTAGTTGCATCCTATAGTGGTACTATTTGCTTCTCTGCTTCATTTCATATTACAGATGTTTTATATGTACCAGAATTTCGCTTCAATCTTATCTCTGTTTCTAAACTCACATTCTCTCTTTCTTGT